CTAGAATACGGTGGTTCGAGTCCCAAGCCTGCCAAAAACTCCCGAGTCGCTTATGGTAGAGCGAGTAGCAACATACCAAGGGAAGAAAGAACCAAGGGAAGATTACAAAAATCTTGATGACCTCACGATAGGATGGTCGATGGGCTTCCGTAAGTAGAAGAGCCGGAAGAGACGACAGCTGGTTATTCATGACCTTAACGACGTTGTAGATTTCGGAAAATGTAGGTGCAACGTAAGAGGATAATGATGCCCCTAGAGAGTAAACGAACAACGTAGTTACTAGTGAGAAATATGTGGTCTTGAACAGTTTAGCCATCAGGATTCGGCGGTAGATCATTGCTACTGGTACGAGTAAACCAAACATGGATGCTGCGAGGGCAACGGAATTTCTCCCCATGACTTCAACACTGTTATATCTTATCTCTCTGTTCTTTTTTAAAAAAAGTTTTTGCTTGTGTGCGAGTTGTGTGTGATAACATGATCTCTTTTTGGAGTCTATGTATCCAGGCTTCCATTGCTTCTTCTTTTTTACGTGTCAATGTTTTGGCGTTTATACGACTTGCAATTAACTTGAATACTTCGTTCTGTACTCTTACATATTCCATAGTCATAATATCAAGACCGTTATTTCTAAGGCGCATTCGCTCCAGACATGATTGGGGATCGTCTTCTAACACAATTATCGTTTGCATTCGTTTCGGTATCTCCCACATTTCCTTAGGAAACTGGGCGATAAGATCTTCTGTTTGTTGCATGGACCTTCTTCCTTCAATGATCGAAAAAATTAAGGAGTAGGTGAGCGCACTTAAAGGTCCTCTATCATGAATTGATCCTGCTTGTAATTTGGACAATTGGAAAATGGTATATGCGATGTCGATGGCTCCATCGGTATTCTTGTCTTTGAAGACCGGATACAGTCGGACGTCTTCTGCAAAATCTCCAATCACTACCTTAGGGTATTGAAGACTTATTCTCCTAAGCACGGACGTTTTGCCTAAGCAAGCCGTCCCATCTATAATCGTGACGCTCTCTGGGTTATTCATCGCAAAACTTATACCACCCGGACTGTTCGCACAAATGGGGGGGGGGGGATACAGGATGTCTCTCGCACTGCCGCCTAACGACTTCTTGTTACTTGCGGTAGGGTGTTGCGTGTGAAAACGAACGAAACATGATGAAGTTACAAAACTATTGTACAAAGTCACAGTTTGGACTGAAACATCTCAGTTGATTTAATGACGGATTAGTTTCCCTCTCCTAAACTGAGAGAATCAGGCCGAACTAACTTCAACTGCGGGCGCTGTAACTTCGTCATAAGCCTCTTGAAGTTCAAAGACGGATGCAAGGTACTCGACATCTCTGCGGTGAGATGTTGGATCCAATCCT